GGCCCTGGAGCTGTGGCTGCTTCAGGCCGCGGTGCAGCCGCCACCCCCACGCGGCCGTGCCCACGAGAAGGCCTCTCCAGGGCCGGTCCCGGACGGTGGGACTGTCTGGCCCAAGGGTGCCGGCATCTTGCATTTTAATTGACCAAACTATCCTTGACAGCCATGCCCCGCCACACCGACAGCGGCTGCGGGCTCAGAACACCCCACACAACAAGGTGTGCTGTCACGCCGCAGTGGTCCCTAGGACGTGGCGTCCCCGCGCCAATTCCCGCAGGCGGCCGTGGCCACGCCACCACGCCCGGCCCACGGCCCCGGAGCTGCTCTGTGCGAGCTGTCTCCAGGCCCTGCTTGTCTGTCCTCTCAGCTCCTCTGGCGTTGGGGGGCTTGTCTTGTATTGATTGGCAGAAGCTTTTTATATATTACGGCCACAACCCGGTGTTTCCGGTGCGGACGCTTCCCCCCGTGGGTCTGCCTTATATTTGTGATGAGTCCATGCTGTCCAGTGGGTCACAATTTCCCTGTGGCTTGAGTCCTCATGTTCAGAGACAGCCCCACTAACTGAGGCGGACAGATAATTTTTCTTGTATCGGGTTGTCAGAAAAGTCATGATGTATTTTTCTGTTTTTGATGCAAAGATGCGTCGTGACTTTCCAGACAACCCAATATTTTTCAGCTGATGCTGTGACGGAATTTTTAAAGGGTTTTTACTCCACTGTCTCTGCACCTGCAGTGGCAGGACCCGCTTCGCGCCTCCGAGGACACCTGCCCTGGCCCGGGCTCACCAGGTCACCTCCTGGGCCCATCATTCCACCTGCAATGGTCCAATCCGTGTTCTGAGTGGGGTCCGCTCAGTTCTGGGGATTTGGGCGCAGACGTATCGCTTTGGGCCCCACTCGAGGCGGCACCGTGTGGCAAAGTCCCGCAGCTCTCGCGGGGCACCCCTGACTGTGCAGAGGACGAACCGGGCTGATCCCGCCCCAGGGGCTGCCCGGGAGAGGGACTCGCACGTGGCGTGGAGACCCGAGACCACCTCCGCCGGGGGCTCAGGGCCAGCGGCAGGGACACGGCCGAGAGAGGGGCCGGCGGTGGCAGGCCCACGTGGGGAGCAGGCGGGGCGGCCGGGCCTCACACAGGCTCCTCCCGTCCCTGTGAGCGGCTGCTCATCTACATCTGAGGCCAGTCTGCAGGGAACGACAGAAAACCCGTCACAGGCGTCAGACGTCCACACGAGGAAGGACCACAGCGACGGCCCCTGCTGGGGTAACATCAAGACGCGTCATTCTGCATCTCAGGGAGGAGCTTCAACTAACACGCGTCCTGGCCGCTCGGGGCGTCCGGCTGAGCCGAGGAAGCCGCGTCTGGGGCCGAGCCGGGCGGCCTCCTCGAGTGGACAGCACGCCCGCCGCCCAGGCGCTGCCTCAGCCTTTGGCGAGTCCGGAGGGGGCCCGGGCGCGCGCGGCGGGACAGCGAGAGCGGAGGCGCTGGCCTGGAAGCCCACACCGCACGCGCGTTCACGCACCCGGAGGGCGGCGGAAGGAGCTGGGCCCAAGCGCCCGGCTGAGGGCCGGTGCTGGGTCGGCGCTGGGCAGGCGTCCGGACGTGCGGGCCTGGGATGTGTGGATCACGCCCGCCCCCGCGGCTGGAGGCTGAGCGGGCGCCGGTGCGTGGCCCTCCCGTGGGCGGGCACCCCCACGCCTGGCTGAGCCCGGTCCACTCTCTGGGCAGCCAGATGGGGGTCCTGAGGAACGCAGACCCGGCGTGTCCTCCGGGGTCCCCTGGCAGGCACCGCCCCAGGCTGCCGCCGTCCGAGCCGCGCAGGCCCTGGGCCGGCCCTGGCCTCTGCGGGGATGTGCTCCGGGGTCAGGTTGAGCTTGCCTGGCTCATGGGCTGGGAGAGTTTTTCTGATTATACGTACTTTAATTTCAGGAAAAATGGAAATAATTTTCTTGAATGTATTTTTAAAATTAGAAACTTTCCCCACCTTCCTCCCTCCGAGCCCCGCCAGCACCACCCCTGCAGCCTGCAGACACCCCCTGCCGCTGAGCCTCTGACCTCCAGGCTTCCCTTCACCCCGCGCTTGGTCCAAACGCATGTCTCGCCTCCTACGGCCCAGGGTCTTGGGGGTGCAGGGACCCCATGTGGTTGGGCTTGGTGCAGCCCAACTTCAGCAGAGCCTTCAAGGCCGGGCCGTGGCCCCCACCCTGCCGGCCACAGCTCGCGCCCGACGCCCCCAGCCGAGGTCTCAGGGCCCCGCCCCCCGCCCCGCCCGCTGCCTGCTGCCCTCTCTGTGGGGGTCCTGATCTGGAGGTGTCCACAATGCAGAGGGGACACCCCAGTGCCAGCGTCTGCGGGACGGGAGAGCAGGAGTGGGATGGGGGCTCCCGCCTCGGACCAGGGCGGGGGGTCCTCAAGGCACACGCGCTACAGACACCCCCCATACCACACACACTGTAACGGGGTCCCCAGGAAAGGGGAGGCTCTAGGTTCCTTGCCCCCACAGTGGAGGCTGAGCAGAGCAGGGAGAAGCTGAGAGGCGGTAGGGGGCGGCAAGGACGGGCAGGGGGAGCCTGGAGAGGCGCGGGGGGCAGGCGCGTGGGAAGAGGCTGGCGTCTCGGTCCTGAGACCCAGGGGGAGGGAGGCCGGGGGGGAGCCCCGGGGGAGCGCTGGGGGGAGGGGCGGTGGCAGCGTTCATCTTGATGTCGCTTCTGCCCTTTTCCTCCCAGACTTGTCTGTGTCTGAGCCTGCTCCATGGGCCCCGGAAGGTGCCTCAGGCTGCGGCGGCTCTCGGGCCTTGCTCCGGGCCAGCCCTGTTTGGGTGGACGTTGACCCACGAGGGGACAGGTCACTTCGGTGCTAGATCTGGAAGCTCCATTCTCTGCCCTGTCTGTGCCGCACGCTCCGTGTGTTGACGCGCCTTCCCTTCAGAGGTCTGTGTTCTGTCTTGACGCGGCGGATGGCAGGTCCTATCTAGAGTGGGCAGTGTTGGGGGTACTGGGGTGCACTTCTCCCTGCCCTGTAGCAACCTCCCCCAACACCAGACCCTGGAGAAGCTGCCCAGTGCCATATGCACCTTCTTGGGAGCTGGCTGGGTGGTTTTGGGGCCCCTGTAGAGCTGGTGCTCCCCATCCTGTGCCCCCACAGCAGAGCCCAGGAGGACACCCACCCCGTGTTCTCAGACCACACTGGCCTGTCACCCGCAGCCCAGCACCCCGTATACCCCTCAGGGAGCCCCTCTGGGGAGCAGCAGTTGGCGGCCAGGCGCTCCTCGGCAGTCTCTGCCGCAGCGGCTGACGGGGGCCGGTCTGGGCTGCTGACCTCGTGGGGTCTCCCTCTGGCTTTTTTCAGTGACAAAACACACCTGATGAGGAACTTGAAAGGCCCCTCAGCCGCCCTTTCATTAATACGGCGCCGCCAGGCTGGGCTGGTCACAGCCCTCGGCCCCTGCCCAGCCTCCGAGTCGCCTCCCACCCGCCTGCCTGCATGGGGCCCACGGGACGAGCGGCGCGTGATGCAGGCCAGACCCCCCGTCTGTCGGCAGCTGGAGCCACGGGGCCCGCGGGCTCAGCACGGCGGCCCTCGTCACTCAGAGCCGCCTGGTACCTGCAGTTTCTCCAGGCCTGGCTTTCAACTGCCAGCCCATCCCTTCAGACAGACGGATGGACGGACGGCAGACGACGGGCAGCAGATGGACGGGAGCTGGTGGGCAGCGCCGTTCAAATCTCAACTGATAGCAGCAAGACTGACGTCAACCGCAGCTTCTTAGACACAGACTTTGCATCCACTGACGCGAATAGGAAGGGGAAGCCATGCAGGCTGAGGGGACCCCGCTGGCCGTCTTAGCGACCCCGCTGCCCGGAGGGACACACACAGCGGGGTGTGGCAGGCGGCCCGGAGCCCCCAGGGTGGGGCAGCAGGTGACTGGACGGCGGGGAAAACCCCTCAAGCGACGTGAGATGGGCTTTCCTGGAGGCCCCCCCAGAGCCCGCGCCTGCAGCCCCGGGGCCCTCACACAGGCTGGGGTGGGCGGCAGGGACCCATGCAGGCACCAAGGGGAGCCAGCAAGGGTGCGCGGGCATTTCTACCTGAGGCCCAGTCCTGGGGGTTTCACGGCGGCCCCTCTGGGGACGGCCCGTTTCCAGCCTCCTCCCTTCCTGTTCAGGATAGCCTGGCGGCCTGGACAACCAGCCGCTTGCCAGGCCAGCGCGCCCTCCCTGAAGCGCACGCAAGAAGGGTGATGGCAGAGGTCCTGGAGCAGGGCCGTCTGCTGGTTTTGAGGGAAGGACACCCAGAATTGGCTTGGCTGTGGGAGGACGTGGGGTTCACGCTAGGGAGCCACGTCTGGCCGGTCACACCCAGTCCCTGTGGCTGGTGCCCAGCGGCACTGACCCCCGAGCCACACACCACCCAGCGTGTGTACCGGGCCCCACCCTGACTCGCACAGCGGGTGCGGCCCATCTGCTCCGTGTGCCCCACGCTGGGCTCTGCGCTTCCCCTGCTCTCCGGGCGGAGTCCAGGGTCGAGCTGACCCGGTCACGTGGCGACGCACGTCCAGCAGAGGCTGAGCAGCCCGTGTGAGGGCGCAGGGTGCCCTGTCGGGGACAGCATCAGGCCCTGCCCCACTCCCAAGTACGCTCATGACCCCAGCCCTTTCCTCACTGTCCACAGCGGGCACCACGGGTGGGCGTGCCTGCAGGAGGAGCACAGAGCACAACAGCCCTGCCTCCTGGCCGGCCCCTTGCTCCAGCAAGGCCAGCGCCCAGGCCCAGAGGGAGGGGCTTCCAGCTGCAGTCTGGGTGGCTGTGGGGTACCGGGCAGCGCTGCCCCCATCCTGGCACTGCTGCCCTGGCGTTGCCGGCCTCCCCAGCCCCTAAGCATGGCGCCCCCACCCCCCCCGGGCCCCAACATGCACCGCAGGAGACAGAGACAGCAGAGAGGACGTCGGCCTGGACAGCCACTTTACTGCAGCACAGCCCCCCGCCCCCCCGCCCCACCACACACACTCAGTTTGGCTTGGCTGGCCGTGAGCCGCGAGGGGCACCCCGAGCCTGGGCCGGGGTCCCCGCCAGGCTGCCTTCGTGGGCCAGCAGCCACTCCTTCACGCCCAGGCCCCCCGAGTAGTGGCCCACGGCGCCGCTGCTGCAGGTCACTCGGTGGCAGGGCACGAGGATGGGGACCTGGAAGACAGAGAGCGGCGTCAGCTGGGGCCCGGGCAGGCGAACTCCGGCCAGCGCGAGGCCCCGATCGTGACAGGCCAGGCCCACCGCGCAGTGCCACGGCGCGGGTGGGGGGGTGGCGGCAGCAGCCTGGGCGTGGGGGAGGGCCCCAAGGCCAGCACAGGCCTCTCCAGAGACACCCGCCACACCAAGGTGTAGGAGGGGGAACCACCTCATTGGGTAAGTGACCGCAAGGAACACTCGACGGTTAAAGCCGCGTGTCCACAGCACGGGTGCGGCGCATACCCAGAGCAGGAGACCAGGGAAGCAGAAGACCGGGTGGGCACACGGTCCCGGGCAGCTGTGTGACCCCAGCCCCACGCTGTGCCGCGGCCACCTGGAAGGTCTCTGTGGCACGGCCCCCACAAGCCCAGGCCAGGCCCGTTGCCCGGGGGTCCCACGGGTTCACAGGGGGAGAGGGGAGTGCGGCAGACCCACACGCGCCCCGCTGCGCTGCAAGCTGCTCAGGGTGTGGCAGGCAGACCGGGGGCGCTGGAGAGACTGGCAGGGAGGCAGGATCGACTCCCCCATCTCACAAACTTTGGCCAGAAGTTTGGGTTGCCATGGTAACAGGTCCCGTCCAGCGCTTGGATGGGTGGGCTGGGGCCGCCCGCCACCAGCAAGGGGTCCCCGCCTTCTTGGGGGGAACAACAGCATCCTGGGGAGACTCACTGTGGGGGCTCCCGTCAGGCAGGACAGACACCCTAACTGCTGTGCTTCGGCCACACGCCAGCCCGGGCGCTTAAGAGCGGGCGTGGACCCAAGTCTGCATCACAGGCGCGGGCACGCGCCGTTTCCCTTCCCGCCAGCGGGTTCCACGGCCGGCCCCAGCCCCCCCGCCGGCCTCGAGACCAGACACGCTCGCGGCAGCCCCCTGGGCAGCAGGGCCGGCGGGGAGGCGGGCGGTGCCCAGGACAGCCCGCGCGTGTCGGGGGGGCAGCCGCGCCACCGCCCCCGGCCCCCACCGTGCTGTCTTCCACCGTGGCCGGGAGCACGGCTTCTGTTTGTGTTAATTTCAGTGGCAGGCTTCAGACTATTAAAATAATGAAACCTGCTCAAATTTATGGGGGCCCTAAGGACATCTTCAAAGGCCGCGTCCCCTCCCCGCCCCTCCTTCGAAGCCTGCGCTGCATAAAATGTAATTTTTATCAATAACCAAGAAGCTCATAACATCACAGCTGCACCGACATCCGCACGCTGCGAAGCCTCATCCATCCACGCCGCGGGCCCACCCCTTACAGGGGCCCTTCCTCAGACGCTATAAAACTTCCAAACCCGTAGATTTGTCTCCTACAAAAATCACACGAGGGGCCCTTGGATCGATGGCGGAATCCTCTGATTCCGGCCGGACTCTCTTCCAGCTCCGCCTTTGTTCTCGGGCGCAGCCACAGGGGAGGGCACTTGTTTCCACTCGCAGCCTCATCAATACCTAAATCCTGGTGAACAAGTGACACCGAGAAGCTGGAATCAATAGCTCCCTGCGCGTTTTCTTCTCCTGGTCAAATGGCTCAGCCCGCTGACAGGCCGACACCTAGAACACGATGCTAAATCTTTATCAGCCGCGCTGAGTGGCAGCGCAGCCTCGGGTCATTAGTGCTCGTGGCGATCTGTGAATAAACTAACTCCTCGAGCGCGTTTGTTTAGAAGAAGGTGGGAGGCTCCGGCGCACGGATCGATCCCTCTGAACTGCATTTAGCAAATTCTGTCTGAGGAGGAGGCCGAGGGGGCTTTCGGGGGAGGCTGAGAGGCCTTTCAGTGGAGGAACCAGAAACAGGCTCTGCGGCCGGGCAGGAGGAGAGCCGTCCCTGGTGGGCGAGGAGGCCCCCGGGGCACGCTGGGAGGACGGGGGAGGGGCTGCCCGGCCTACAATGTCCCCCGGGGTGGGGAGGAGGCCCCAAGCCCAGGGCGTCAGGCCCCCTCGAGCTCCTGGCGCTGGTGACCCCCAACCCGCGTCTCCCTCCTCCCCATGGTGCTCCAGCCGCTGTCCAGCTGGATTGCAGCGAAGTTTCTGATCCCGCGGGGGGGTGCCCTGGCACCCGGGAGGGTGGGGCGTCCACCAGTCTTGAGGTCTATCCCCTGACCACTGTCCTTTTCTCCCCTGGGTTCCTGGGTCACCTTGTGGGCACCCTGGGTGTTTAGTCAGCTTTCTGGGGCCCCTGAGCATCCAGGTGGTGGCACGCGGAGGCCCCTGTGCCAGAACCGGTGGCATCTCTGGGTCCCACAGCTGCCAGCGCCTCCGTGAACATCTCATCCAGCTGAGGGGCCCTTGGGAGGTGCTCGCGGCCCCCTCTTCGGAGGGCAGGCGTGGGGCTCACTGCCCGGGCTCCTGGCATGGCCCACGCTGCATCACGGGGACGTCACAGACAGCGGAGGTGACCCCGCGAGGCCCGAGTCTCTGAATGTCAGAGACTGAGCGCAGAGGGGCCACGACTTGAGGGTTAATGTGGGGGTAGGCCTGCGGTGCCCGGCAGCGCTGATGGGGGGCGACCCCAGCCCGGGCGAGGACCCCTGTCACAGGGCAGCAGGCCCACCAGCCCGAGCACGCCCCTCAGAGGAGACGTGTGTGTGGGAGCGAGGCGGTGCAGGCACAGCTCCTGCCCAAGGGGCGCGGCGCAAGGGAATCGAGCCCGCCGGGAGGGAATCGAGGGCTCTGCCCGACACCGCGGCGTGGGGTGGGCGGCACCAGCACCACGAGCCCACAGGGCCCAAGAGCAACAGCCAAAGTGACAGCGACCCCGGCCGAGGGCGGCTCTGCCCCGGGGCTGCCGCGTGAGGGGGTCGGGACTAAGCTGGGCAGCCCCGCAGTGTCCCCGCTGCCGCCCCCGACTCTCGGGTCTCCCACACGTGCTGCTCACCCCTCTCCAGGCTGCGCCTCCGCTGCCGCCTGCGCCTGCCGGCCCACAGAGCTGTGGGGGTGTCCTCACCACCGGAATGGGGGTCACCTCTGCCAGCCTGGAGGCAACATCACACGCCCCCCCTGCAGACAGGCTGCGCTGGGACACGCCCGCCCAGGAGACGCCCCCACCGCGGCGTGTGGCCCGCTGTCCCCGGGACACTCACAGGGTTTCTTCTCATGGCTCCGCCCACGGCGCGCGCGGCCTTGGGGTGGCCTGCCAGGGCCGCTAACTGCCGGTACGAGACCGTTTCTCCGACCTTCACAGCCGCCAGCAGCGTCCGCAGCACCTGTCTGCTGAACGACTCTGAAAGGCAGACACAGACGGTTACCTGGGCAGGCGGCTCCAGAGCCCGCTCGTGCGCAGCTGCCCGTGCCGGCCGGGGCGAGGCCGCGGAGCCGCTACACAGGATGGAAACACGCCGTGCGGGGGGGATGGGTGCACTGTCTCCCCAGCGCCGCGAGGACGGGGCGCAGCCTGGATGAGGGAGCACACGGCTCAGCTGCACCCAGGCCCCGCCGGCCCGCGGGCTTCGAGTCTTTGGAGCGCTGGTTCATTTCCAACTTTGGGGAGGCGAGGGCGGGGAGCAGCCCCAGCCGGGCTGGGCCAGGACACTCATCGTGGAGTCCACTAGCCAGTGGACGGGGTACCCAGCCCCAGGCCGACGGACAGCGGCCACCTGGCTTGGCACCGCAGTGAGCAGGCTGCAAGCGGGACCTCCTCGCCCCGGCTTGGCGGCTGATGCGTTGCCAGGCACCGGCGCGTGCCCGTGCTGGCGGCCAGGGGAGGGTGAGGACGGGCCGGCCTCCAGGGCCCTCTCCCGCTGGGCACCGGGCGGGAGGGCAGCGCCGTGCCCGAACTGACACCTCTTGTCTCGCCAGCGGGGTGCCTGGCTCGGAGCGCTGGACGCAAGCTGCGTGCCCCACGGTGGGACAGAGGCCTCAGGCCAGAGCCCCGGGTGGCGACAGCTCGGGGTTCCGGGGCAGAAGATGCGGCGCCGAGTGTCCGGAACGGCGCTGATTACCCGGCGCCGAGCTGCAGGCGTGCGGTTTGGTCTGGCAGGAAACGCGCCCTCACATGCGTGTTAAATGGTAAAAATCACTTCCTAACGGAAGGGATGATAATCACTTGGCTGGGAAAAAATCTGTTTAGTCTTTATTATAACATTAAGCAAATTAAACATCAGCATAATCCAGGTGATACTAGAAAAGGGTCATCAAAGAAATTAACTTTGTTGTTCATTAATTTACATGGATTAGCAGAGGGCAAAAGATAGCAAGTGTGCTCCAGTTTTTATGATATAATTTCAGACTGTACACCATTTGTGGCAGGAGGGTGACTTCGGGGTTAATCAGACTGATTTGTCCTTTTAATTGCTTTCTATTCAAAGAAAATTCATTAGATAATGTTCTCTTCAAAATTCATGAATCAATTTAACTGAAGAAACCACATTAACAGCTCGGGTTCATCAGCGCGCGGCCGCGCCGGCTCCTCGGGCAAACACGCTGTTTACGCGCCCAGGGCGGGAGCCGCCGCCGGCAGGAGAACGGGACGCGGGGAGGGAGGCGCGGTGCGGACACCCGGGGAGGACTCGTCCCGGAAGGGAGGCCAAGGGCGGGGGCGCCGGGGCCCGGGGAGGCTGCTGGCCCAGTTCTCCGGAAGAGCCAGCACCTGCTGGGCCGGGCGGGCGGGCGGGCTTGCCTGCGGCACAGGAGTCCACGGAGCCGCGGCCCGTCCCTGCTGGGGCGCGTCCCCAGCTGCGTCCCCGCCCCGGTGTGCTGGGACTGGCGAGGGAGGCGGGTCTCCCCTTCCAAATGCCCGGGGGGCCCGGTTCCCCACAGGCCCAGGGCTTTAATGCGTCGGAGCGACTCCCCGAGACGAGACAGGCCTTCCCCCGACCCGCGCAAAGCCGGAGGCCGCAGTGGCTGCTTTGGCGGCGGTGCGGACACTCCTGCCGCCCGACTCCGTGTAAGGGGCAGCGGCCGCTCACCATGCCATCTGCACCGACGCGGAAAATGTCTTTTCCTGCGGCCCAGGAGCCCCGTGGTGCCTGGACCGTGGTTTCTGGTGGCCCAAGGAGGGGGCGTCACAGCGCCAGTCTCTCCTCTCTCGTGATGGCCTCTGCAGAGGCAGCCGCAGCCGCGGGGCATCCTGGCTGTCCCTCCTCTCCACCTTCTGTCCTGCCCACGCTGGGTGGGCACTGCAGGCTCCTGGACACTGGGTCCTGCCGAGGGCCAGCCTAGTCTCAGCTTGCTGGGCTCTGACCATGGCCCCCAAGCTGGCTGTTCCTCTCCCTGCTGCCACACCGGGGGGGGGGGGAGAGGGTGAGAGCCACTGCCCCGATCCACCTGGGGGGTCTCCTCAGTGGGGGAGGAGCACCCCTGTTGTGTTTTTTCCTCTTAACTCTTGTACATCAGTCCCCAGAGATGTCCAGCGGGCTGGCAGCAGGGGCCCAGTGGAGCCCGCAGCTCAAGAAGCTGTGTCCCCATGAGGTGGCTGACCCTTGCCCTGTCTTCCTGACACCCAGCCTCGGTGTGGGTGGGGGCACAGGGAGTGCGCAGAGATGGAGGCACAAGAGCCCAGACCCTGCCCAAGGCCCGAGGAGGGCCCGAGAGCGGGAAGGTGCTGGTGGGGATGGGGACAGCACAGAGGAACGCGGGCTGTGAGGAACGGGGGCTTGGGAAAGCCCCCCAAGTGGTGGATAAACTGCCCAGTTCAGCCCTGAGCTGTGCGTTTGTGGATCTGACCCTCAACCCAGGAAGCCAAGGGCCGACATGAGGCCCAGGTCACCGCGGTTCCCCGCGGGCCCGAGGCTCACGGGGCAGGCAGGCCGGGGAGGCCGCAGCGGTGGGCACCAGCCCGCCCGAGACAAGCATGAGGCCTGGTGGCAAGCGATGGCCTGAGTCCAACAGGTGGCCCGCCTTGCACACGACAGCCAGGCGCCGGGGCTCCTGAGAGTCCCAGAGTCAACATAACATTCCACGCGATGAGGCTACGGTTCGGAATTACCTGGCATATGGAGTCAGGAAAATCTCAGCTCACCTGGGAAAAGACCATCAGCAAATGCCAAGGCTGAAATTACGCGAAGTTGGAATCGTCCCGCACCCCCCCACCCCCCGCCCCGCTTTATCGAGGTTAAACCGACAAATGAAATTCTAAGATGTTGAAAGGGCACAGCGTGAGGATCTGGTGCAAACCATCTGGCGAGGTTACAGGACCCATGATAAAGATGCTTCTAGAAGTAACAGAAAATACCCTTGAAACAAACGAAAAGACAAAGTTTCAAAGAACTAGAAGCTACAGAGAGCCAAGTCGGAAATTAAGTGCTGAAAGATATAATAAAAAGCCTACCCTCTGGCTTTGAAAGCAGAATGGAGCTGCCAGGGGAGAGCCAGTGAAATCGAAGACGCAGGGAAGAAAATATTAAGAGTGACCGAAGAAACCCCAGAAGGGCCACAGGGCCGGGGAGTCAGGGCAACAGGGCTAACATTTCTGCCCCTGGAGTCTCAGGAGGGGAGGAGAGGGTGGCAGAGAAAAAAATATTGAAGAAGTAACAGGTAAAAATTTTCCAAACTTGGCCAAAGCTCTACAACTCCAGACTTAAGAGGAGCAACCTGCGAACAGGCCCCGCCCACAGACATCCAAGCCCAGACACGTGAGCAGGAGCAGGGAGGGGGGCGAGGAGCGGCCGCTGGAGGCAGTGATCGACCATTACAGGGGACAATGACTTAGTGCCCGGAGCAGCCACGCTGGACCACGGGGGACAGAGGAAGGGGCAGAGCGATTTTAAAGTGCGGAAAGAAAAGAATTACCAACTCAGAATTCTATATCCAGCTTTAAAGAACAGCAACTTCCTCAGGAGTGAATTCAAAATACACCCTGATAAAACCAAGATGATTTGTTGGCAGCAGATCCGAGCTAAGAGATCTGCTAAAGGGGTTCTTCAGCAAGAAGGGAAGTCACAGCAGAGGGAGATTAGTGCTTGGGAAGAAAGCAGAACAAAAAAATGCGGTTACATCTGGCTAAGAAATCAGACTGTTTTTCTGCCAAGTTCTTTAAAATATGCTGGTGGCTGAAATCAGAAGCGCAGCCTGTCAAGTCGGGCGCATGCAATGTGACAGAGACACAGGAAGCTGGAGGGGCGACATGTGACTAGGCTGCCGTGGCCCACCTTAAGGCAGTGAAATGCTGATTCTATCTGGACCGTGGAATTTAAGGGCAACCACTAGAAAAACTATAAAAAGATAATATAGTCAAAAGCATAAAAGACAAGTTAAACTCAAGTGTTAAAAAAACTTAAAATAGCCCCAGAGAAAGAAATGGAAAAGAGAAATAAAAGAGAGGGAAAAGGGAAAAGAAGTAGCAAATTATCTAACAAAAATAATAAGATAATGAAATAAAACACGCTCTTGTTTAGCTCCAAGTTGAACCTTATTACTACAATAGCTATAAATGGTCGAATTATAGCAATGAAGAGATAGAGACCATGAGAATGGATTAAAAAATAACTGAAATATGTGACGTCTATAAGAAAACCACTTCAAATAATGGATATAGGTAGGTTAAAAGTCAAAGAGTGGAAAAAGATGTATCATGTAAACACTAATGTAACAAAGACAACTTAGGAGCAAAGCAAATTTCTAGGGGTGAAGATGATGTAAAGGTAGCAGGGACAGCTCCTCCAGACGGCATACCAACCCAGACATTCACGCACCCAATTTGTAACATTCCAAACACATGAAGAAAAATTTGGAAAAGTATCGGAAGGAGAATGAAACTAGTCCATCATTACACCTGGGGACTTCAACTTGTCTCTTTCAATAATCGACAGAAAATTCTCAACAGTTGACAGAGAATCAGAGAGGACAGAGAATTGAATATTACTATCAAAACAGCTGTTTTCAACTGACATTAATAGAACCATTTACCTAACAACAGCAGAATAGATATTATTTTCAAATGCACACTCAACACTGACCAAGATATACCAAATTCTATTATAAAACAATTTGAAATAATTAAAATCATACAGGTTATATTCTCTGATAATGGAATTAGACATTAATAACAAAATAATAATAAGAAAATCTATGAACATTTGGGCAGTAAATAAGTCACTCTGACAGTAAGTAAGTCCATAGAGACCAGTGGTCTCTAAGGATTTCCTTAAGACTTTAAGGAAAATGAACAAGACACACGGAACTGAACGAAGCGGGAAATACAGCATATCACAAAGCATACGACATAATAAAGTAATGCTTAGTGGAAAATTTATACTATTAAATGCATATATTAGAAAAGAAGGA